GTGACTGTTAGAAAACGAAAACACAAAACCACTTGAGCAATTGATCAAAATATCATTAATGTCATCATTGACATAAAAAAAAATAAGTTTGTTTTGGCAGTTAAATTAGCTTAACAAATTCAAGAAGATTATAACATCACAATGACTCCTCAAACAATCAGAAATTGTGTAAAAGAACAAGGATATAGAGATATAGAGTGGTTCAAAATAAACCTTTTTTAACTTCTAAATAAATGAAAAGTTGACTGGAATTTGCATCAAAATACTTTAAAATGCTGATATCATATTTGAAAAAATTTTTGTTGTAAAATGAGTCAAAATACGATTTGGTCTTATCGGATAGAGTCCAAAAGGTTCGACGAAAAAAAGGAGAAGCTTATAAATTGAGTTGTTTGCGAGGTACTATAATGCATAGAAGAGGAAATGTGATGGTTTGGGATAGTATGAATTGAAAAAGAGTGGGAAAATTTACATTTATTAATGACTAAATGGATGCTTCAATGGGTTGTGAAATTCTCCAAGCCAATTTGCAACCATATACTTAAAAATTAAGAATGGAAAGCGATTTCATACTCCAGCAGGATAACAATCCTAAACATACCGCTAAGAAAACGAAGGTATACTTTGACATCGCGACCCCGACTCCAATATTAAAACTTCTCGGTATTGCACGTGCATTTACAAAACATTCAACTAACCTTATGTTCATTCTAAACCTCAAAGAACGTTTCATAAATTTGTCAAAAAAGAAATTTGCAACTTATCGCGTAATATTTTTTTAAAGAATTCAAAGAATTTTTCAAAATTTGCTTTGGAGTTGGAGTCGGAGTCGGAATTAGAGTCGGAGTCGGAGTTGTGCTTAAAATATTTTAACAACTGGAGTCGGAGTCGGAGTTGTACTAAAAAAATTTCAACAACTGGAGTTGGAGTCGATACTTTTTCTTTTACTTATTAGACACTTATTACTACGTTGCTACAAACCTTATCGATCCCTGGTGCTTTGTTAATTTTCAGAGAGTTTTTGCCGCATCGAGTTCATCATAGCTTAGGCTATTGAATTTTAGTTCGCTATGCAGATCTGTAAAATAGGTTTCAAAATAGGTATTTGGGCATTCAATTTTGGACGCCATGTTAGGGCCGACGTTTGCAAAGAAACTGTTGAAATGTTCGGCAATAAAACTCTTATCGTTTTTTTCTGTTTCATCCACAACAATTCTATCCGTTAAGGTATTTGTTTTGGTATTTTTTTGTCTCGATTATTTTTTTAACGATATTCTATGATTTTTAATATCATCATTTGAAGTAGTTTTGAATCGTATATTTTTTTGAGTTTTTTTTTTTTTTTTTCAAAAAGATTTTTGTATTGATTGTAGATAGATAAGTTCACTTTATTTCTGTATTTTAAATATTTTATGTAGAGTTTTTGTTTTAGAGGATTTTTTAATTCCACTAGTAATCCATGGACATTTGAAATATTTTTAATATTTTTATATTTTTTCTTTGATCGGGAAATGATTATTATAATGCTTTAGGAAGATATCAATAAATATATTATTTGCGGAATTTGTGTCGGTTGCATTCTTTATATACTTCAACCCAGCCTACTACTTATTGTGTCTTAAATTTTTGAATAGAAATTTTATTAATTTTTCTTTTATAAATTTTGGTTATAGAATTCTTATTTACTCTTGTATCTTGATTTATTAAAAAGTAAATTGGGATGTGATCTGAAATATCTGTTTTAACTATACCTGTTTTTAAAGAAGGATCTAAAAATGCATTTGTCATGATATTATCTATAGCGGAAATTGAGTTTGAGGTTATTCGGGTAGGTTTGTTGATAATTGTAAAGATGTTATCAAAAAAATATTTAGTGGTCGCATTTATTTTGTATTTTAGACATTATACAATAGCGTGTTCAACTAATCCTGATGCATCCCAGTTACCTTTAGCTATGTTTTTTTCGCGTTCATTAACACGTGTGGAAATTTTTTTCTAGCTTCGCCGACATAACTCGCACCACATGAACAATCTAACTGATAGACACCAGGATAACTATTCGCATGCAATGTTGATTTATTGCGACATAAATTACTAAGTAAAGAAAAACAGTTTTTATACTTACTCTACGAAACACTGTTTTAAGTATTATGCTTTAATATTATGCAATTAAGTATAATGCTTAATTTTGGTATCCACGATTGTATGACAATGTTTCCAGGGTCTATTTGCTGGTATATTGCACTTTTATGTGATAGTTTTAAATTTTTGGCGATATCTACGGTAGCTTCCTCGACTGTAGTGGCCCCCTCGGAGGAGGTAAATAATTAAAAAAAAAAATCTGAAAAATGTTATATATATATATATATATAATATATATATATATATATATATATATATATATATATATATATGTATATATGTTTATATATATATGTGTATATATATATATATATATATATATATATATATATATATATATATATATATATATATATATATATTGATATCCTTGCCGAGTCGTTTTTGATACAATTTGTTCCTAAGCCCACTTTTCAACTTGATGAAATTACATCGAGCAACACTCTTGATCTAATTATAGCCGAAAATGAAAATCGGGTCCTCGATATTATTCACCATGCACCTTTAACGTCTCTGAAGAAATCTCACGTACTTCAATAGGATTACGTTGTTAAAAGCGCTTCAATTGTAGGAAAATTGAAGAACCTCATATAAAATGAAATTGAAGAACCTCATATACATGTATAAAGCTCGTTGTGAGTTTGAAATTGATTTAGCGATAAAATCGAAGCACAACCCAAAGATCCTGCTCAAGTATGTTAATAGAAAACAAAATGTTAGAATTACAATAACAGTCTTAAAAAGAATCAATGGCGACACTATCACAGTGTCGCCATTGATTCCTTTTAAGGCTGTTATTGTAATTCTAACATTTACTTCCTACTATCATTTATTTCCTATGTATGTATAGGCGTAAATTTGTGTATATGTAATTTATTTTCTATGTATGTATAGGCGTATATTAAGAATAGGAGCGTAATTTATTACCTATGTATGTATAGGCGTAATTAATTTCAAGTGATTCTCTAACTTCTTTTTTTTTATTTATTTACACTTTTGCCGATAAAAAAAAAATTTACAGTCGTAACTTATAAAAAAATAATAATTACATGACCGGGGCTAGAAGAAGACAAATTTAGTCTTATCATTAAGCCCCAAAAAATGCGCCATTACTAGACAAAATATAGTTTGACAATAAAATATAGTTTCAATGTATATATCTCTGATTTATATTATAAAAGAAAATTTAAATATATCGCATATCGTTTAAAATTTATAGTTTTTCAAAGAATAAGATTTAACAATTGTTTTGTAAAATAAAAGAAACAAAATTTAATAAAATACTAAAATAACAAAAATAACATAACTTCACGCTCATCGTATTCTGATTTTAATGCTAGAGTTTTCGGAATTGACCAATCAAATATACCATTACATTCTCTACCGTGTTCAGTTGAACTAGATGCATCTCATTTACCTTTTTTTTGATGTTCAATGCATCTTGTTAAAATTTTTTTTTTTTGTTTCGCCAATGTATATTCTGCCACAAGAGCATGTGATTTTGTAGATACCGGGATTGCTATTGGGAATTAACTTTGACTTGTTGTTGCAAAAGATGTTTTTTAACGTAGGTGGTGTAGTAAAAATTATTCTGACGTTGTAATGTTTAAGTTCTTTTCTAAGTTTTGGACCTATTCTTGGGAGCCATGGAAACTTAACTGTATATTCACTTGTTTCTGTTTTACTATAGTTTATTTCAGAAAGGTTGTTTCTTTTCTGAATATAGTACTTGGCAGTTGTTTCAAGCTTTAATCTATCGTGTCCATTTTCTGCTATATAAATTAAAGCTTGAATCAACTGCTAAGAACTATATTTAGAAAAGAAACAACCTTTCTAAAATAAACTATAGTAAAACAGAAAATCGTGTATTACGTTAAAGAAAACTGATAAACTTTATATGAAAACTTATTTAGCTTTTATAAGACACGAAATATTTTCACTCTGATAGTCTTTTTGAAGACGTATTTAAGACGTTTGAAAGAAGAATATTTAAAATATTACAACTAAAGAAAAAAATTGACGTACAAAAGAGACGTCATACGAAACCACAAAATATTTTTTCTACCTTTTTTAAAGACGTCTTTAAGACGTAAATAAGAGGATTTAGATAAAAAGGATTTAAACCATATATTAAACGTCTTCAAGACGTCTTTTGAAGACAAGACCATTTAAAGACCTAAGTTAGACGGTCTTAAAGTCTTTTGATTGCTGGGATGTTTACTAATAATATTACATGGTATTTTATTTTTTTATTCATTTAATTATAAAATGCACATGTGTGGTATTTGCTAACCATTACTAGATTTTGCACCTAATTAACATTTTTTCCAATAAAATCAAAATGTAAAAAATGGGACGTTTGCGATTTTTGCAAACCATGATTTATTTCACCATTGTCCATTTTATCGTTGATTGCGTTTGTGAATTAAAAATATTTTTCACAAATCTTAACAAAACAATATTAATACTGACACAGCCTTATAACAGCAAATTCGGGTACGTTATGAAACATACTAATTTATTTTTGTTTGCTTGCACCTAAATTGATAGCCGTCTTGATTTTTAAACATTTCTAAAGCATATTTTGACCAAACAAATATGTCAGCCAATGTGTTATCTTCGTGTTTCACTGCAAACATTCACCTATATCACTATCACAACTATAAGAACAATTTGTTGCTCAATTTGTTGAGTAAGTAGACTTTTTTTATATTGTTAAAATGTAATTTTAAAGGAGTTTTATAGTTTTATTTCTGTTAATTAATTATTTTTTTTGAATATATTTTTTCTTACCAAACGGGCCTAATATTAAAAACTTTTTCTATATTTTATACCGTCATATGCTTTTATTACAAATCTTTCTCGCAATTTAAAAATAATCAAAATATATTAAATACAGTTAAAAAAAGTCACTTTCTTGTGAAAAACCTTTCACAAACAGGTACTTTCAAGCATCTTGCTTTTGTTATAACAAACGGCTTTCTTTTAACTGCGTCAATCTCAATAAAATTATTATTGGTAGTAAACCCATAAAATAATGTGGTGTTTGCATTGTAACCAAAAACCTCCATAACTTGAATTGGAAGAACTAAATAAATAAAAATTTGGGGTATGTTGATACTCTAATTATTGCGATAATGATTCTTTAATATATTATTTTCAAAAAAAACTTACAGTTAATAACTCCAGATGATATTTCACGTTGATAACAAGGGGTAGATTGTCTAAAACCAATTTCAGGTCAATTTAAATTTTTATAAATTAATTAATAACTTTATGAAATAAAAAATTCAAAAGTGTTGACTGATTGTTTTTTATTTTTTTTACAAATGTAATCATTATTTTTAGGTTTTTTATAAATGATTTGCCAAAATAAATCCAGATTTAGAGAGTATTTTTAAAGAATGAACCCTAGAAAAATAAAAAAACTAAAAAAAAAAAAAAAAACCCTTAAGAATGAATCCTAAAGCTCGATTAAAAAAGGTTTTTCTAAAACAATCAGAATATATTTAATTTTATAAATATTTGAACTTTGTAAATTGAAAACATCTGAGGAGCCCATCTGCAAAACGCGCTAAGTCACAAAAAAAATTTTTTTGAGTTAATTCCATTTCTATATTCTTTACACTGAGGTCTCCCGGCAAGAAAGGTATATGTAGCCCACATGTGGTCATAGTGCTTTCGTAAGGATTAAAAGTGCAAAAATATATTACAGTTGATGAATGACGTATTTGATGAAGATAAGTGTGGCCCACTTGTGGAACACATAATGTGGTTCACATAACTATTTTACTTAATGTGGCATAATCCTTAAATAAATACGTGCTAAATTTGATGTGGCTATCATATGGGCCATACATATAAAACTCACGATCTTGCCTCATTTTGAATTTTAAATTTTAACCAATTGTAATAATTCTATCGCAATGCATTGTAAACTCTAGAATATTCCATGATATCATGTGGCTTACCGTTTTGATAATTTTCAATTTATAACTGCTGTAATTATGTTTGAGCGATAAAAATAAATATATATAAAAGAATAAGTGTAAATATGTAAAATAAAAAACAAAAACCTAGGTGTGTTAAGATTTCTACTTATTGTAATAATATTATAAAAATCTGATATGGTAATAATATCAGATTAAATTTGATATGGTAATAATATCAGATGAAAATATTAAAAACGGCTATCTCTCGCCATAAATTAAACAAGACCAAAGATGCGTATGGAATCTCTGCAGAACATTTTAAACATGCACGTTGCGAAGCCCTAAAAAAGTGGCTAAGAAAATTCTTTAACTTTAATATTAAACACGGTCAGGCCCCAAAATCGATGTCTACATCACTTATCATACGTCTTGCTAAATCTTATAAAAAATCATTAACTGATCCAAATAAATACCGCGGTATTAGTATCATTCCAATCTTTACAAAACTAGTAGAATAACTTATTTTAATTATCTGTCCAGAGATAAAAGAAACTCATCCTCTTCAATTCGGTTTTACTATAAAAAGTTCTACCTTACATGCCGAATTTGTTTCAAGTGAAACTGTAAAACATTACAACAACAACAACTCACCTTTCTATCACTGTTCCCTAGATGCTGAAAAAGCATTTGACAGCTGTAGCTGGGACATTTTATTTGAGAAACTATACAATAATAAAAAATTACCTCTTTATATTATTAATACTATATCTTCATTTTACCATGAAAACAGTGCTTCTGTCACTTATCTAGGATGCAAGTCATATCCATTTTATCTAACACAGGGGGTGAGACAAGGATCGATTCTGTCTCCTCGCCTGTATAATATATATACTCAATGCCTACTTGAAACCATACAAAATAAAAGTATCGTAGGGACATCAATTTATGGAAATTACACATGTGTTGTAGCATACGCTAATGAAATCATTCTTCTTAGTTCTACCCTGTCTGGAATAAAAAAGCTTATACCAGCTTGTAATATATACACTAACGCAAATTGTGTTAAGTTAAATGCTAATAAGACCAAGTTCTTGTTCACTGGAAAAAAACAAATTGCAAACTGCGCGATAACAATCGACCACCGACAAATAAAACCGGATGATAAACTTAATCATCTAGGTTTTATATGAGATACTAAAAGGTCTTCTTTTGCCTCACTTAATCATTCAAATATTGATAATAGACTATCAATTCAGGGCAATAATTCAAACTCTTATTCAGTCTGGAATCCGCTTTGCTCATCCAAGCTCTATCGTCCAGTTATATAAAACATTTGTGGTTCCCATACTTACGTATGGTCTTGAACTTTGCGACTATAAAGACATACTAATGCAAAAGCTTGATATAATCGGAAGGAATGCACTTAAGTCACTCTTCAATGTTTCCAAACACAGCAAATATTATATTCATTCTTTGTTTTACATCCAAGATGTATCAACAATTGTACAGCAAAACAAGTTAAACTTATTTATTCGCATATTGAGTAATAAAACAGAGTGGTAGATATATGGCTAACATGTGCTTTCCACACGTGGGCCACATGTAACTTTCACGCACAAATGAAGAGTGGCGTTTGTTCTTATTTAGCGTGGTTTTAGTGGGATAAACATTTTATAGCAACATATGAGACGCATCAACGCCATCCCATAAAGGAGAGTGGTAAATATATGGTTAGCATGCAAATGCTATACATGGTCCACATTAAAATTTCTTGTTGGACTACCATCTATTTAAATATTAGTTCTATCAAAAGGCTCTTCGTCCTAAAAACAGGTAAGGGAAATATCAACGTTTTCAAAACATGTCAAGTCAAACTGGGTTAAAGCTTTAAAACATGCTAAATCAGAAGCCAATCAGATGAACGATAAGTGATGTCACATTTTTTAACAACCAATCAAAAGTCTGTTTATCAAATTATTTAAAATTTATAAAATTAAATCAATTTATTTTAAATTCATCACATTGTTTAAAATTTATCATCAAATACAAAATGGCTGAAATTAGAGACAGTTTTATACCTGTTAGAGAAAAAGCAAACAACCATCTTACTATGGGAAATAAAACAAAAAGAAAGGTAGTATTTATTATTTATTTCTAAATTATAAGTAATAAATCTTTTAAACAACGGAAACCATAAATTTTTTTATATCTACTCTAAGGTGTTTAATACATGGGAGGGGACTTTCATTAACTTTTGTAAACTTTCCTATCCATCTAAGCTTATAAAGACCAACCCCACCCCACCCCCACCCACCCCATTTATTAGTTTTGATATTCTGTTAACAAAAATAACAGTGAAGGTGTACTTAATTCGATGATTTATTTTAGTTGTTGTTTTATTGATTTAATAGTTTATATCTCTTTTATAAAAAAAGACCCAGATGATGAGGAAGATACTATATGCAATTATCTTGGAGAAGATAAGTAACCATGTTTAACTTATTCATTGTACAGCATTTTTTTTGGCCAAAGTTTTTAATAAAAAAAACTTTTAATCATAGCGTTTTGTTTGTTACCATTATTTTATACTATAACTTTTTTCAATAATTAATCCAAATCAAAGCTTTTCCTTTCAAATTATTTAAATGCTTTCTTAAAACAAAACAAATTTTGTATGAATTCAATGAAGTTAGTTCAATGAACTTATATAACTTATATTTATATATACATATATAATTAATTCAATAAATTCAATGAAGCTCATATTTATATATATACATATATAGTTTTTCGTCAACTAACCTATTTCAAAATAATTTAAGTCCATCTAACATTACCAAAATAATAGTCAATAATTTGATCAGGTTTACTTCACGATCCTATCAAATTGCATTTTTTTATGCGCATACTTTATTTGTATCACTACACTGAAGTAACTTATACCAACAATTTATTTTTTTTTGAGCGCAATATACGTGTGGGTCACTTTTCCTTCAATATCTCAATATCAATTTACTTGGACGCGTTTTGCAAATGGGCTCCTCATATAGTCTAATTATAATAATAAAAATATAACAAAATAACATTAATAATAATAATGATGATAATAATAGCAATAATAGCAATAATAATAATAATAATAACAATAGAATAAAATAATAGTCAATAATTTGATCAGGTTTACTTCACGATCCTATCAAATTGCATTTTTTTATGTGCATACTTTATTTGTATCACTACACTGAAGTAACTTATACCAACAATTTATTTTTTTTTGAGCGCAATATACGTGTGGGTCACTTTTCCTTCAATATCTCAATATCAATTTACTTGGACGCGTTTTGCAAATGGGCTCCTCATATAGTCTAATTATAATAATAAAAATATAACAAAATAACATTAATAATAATAATGATGATAATAATAGCAATAATAGCAATAATAATAATAATAATAACAATAGAATAAAATAATAGTCAATAATTTGATCAGGTTTACTTCACGATCCTATCAAATTGCATTTTTTTATGTGCATACTTTATTTGTATCACTACACTGAAGTAACTTATACCAACAATTTATTTTTTTTTGAGCGCAATATACGTGTGGGTCACTTTTCCTTCAATATCTCAATATCAATTTACTTGGACGCGTTTTGCAAATGGGCTCCTCATATAGTCTAATTATAATAATAAAAATATAACAAAATAACATTAATAATAATAATGATGATAATAATAGCAATAATAGCAATAATAATAATAATAATAACAACAATAACAAATATAATAATGGTTAAAATACGATATAGTCTAACAAAACATAAAGCGTAATTGTAAATTAAAAATAACATATTGTGTACCTTTTTTGCATGGTTTGACATACAAACTGATAAGTTTCAGACAGCAATGATGTACTTGATTGCTTGTATTTCCATATCTGATTAATTTTGTTTACTATAAAAAAAAAAAAAAGCAAATGTATTTTTATCTTTTTGACTGCATTTTTAGCAGCAGTAACAAAGTTAATAGTGGTCTGGATCAAAATCAAGAGGTTGAAGACTAAATACGTTGGTACAGTAGTTGACGTTGGTACAGTAGGAAGCATAAACTTACTAGTTAAATGCTCTTCTGCGGTGCATTTTTTTAAGGACTACTTAAAGGGCCTTAATAACCATCAAAAAAAATTTACTGACTTTTCAGCCATCTGCTTTTAATATTTTTCTGATTTGCTCCAGAGCTTTTCTAACATTTGATGAAAATGACTTTTTTTATTTGATTTTTGTGATGAAAATGTCTTTTATTTTTTGCTAAAAATGTTGATCATGAAATGTTATGTTGATCATGAAATGTTATGTTGATCATGAAATGTTGATCATGAAATGTTGATCATGAAAGGTTATGTTGATCATGAAATGTTATGTTGATCATGAAATGTTATGTTGATCATGAAATGTTATGTTGATCATGAAAAGCGGTTGAAACAGAATAATGCAAAAAAAAAAAAAAGTTCTAAAAACCGATTGATAATATATTATTACTTAGTCTAATTAGGTGTCGTATAAAGATCTATTCATTTTATTACAACTATAAACATTTTTGATTACAGAAATTATAGTTTCTGTACAGCAAATCAGAACCTCTATTAAAGTTAACTGAGTTTTTTTTTTAAACTTGTGGCTCAAAGTCAAAATTTTGTGATGTTAAAGAAAACCACTTCTTTTTTTAAATTTTCTAACTGTAAATTTTATTTAAGAAAAACTGTTATATATATCTGTGACCATTGGTCAATTTATGATAAGTGCAAAATTGGTCATTTTGATTGTTGTAGTTTCAAAACAGATTTTTTTTTTATAAAAAAAAAAATATTTTTTATTACTACCCAATTTATGGCAACAAATTTCCAAGTTCTTCTCGTGCAAAATGTCATATTTGCCTTTATCATAAATTGACCAAACACCACAGATATTTATTAATGAAAAAATACTGAGAGATTAGTAAAAAGTTTTTAAAATACTTTTTATATTAATTCAGGGTTGCCACTTAAAATTAAAAATGAAATTCCATGACTTTTCCATGACTCTTCATAAACTTTTATGATGAACCACTAACCAGTAAATTACTCAGTACTTGCCATGCATTAAGCATTTGCAACTTGGTCATTATAAAACATGCAAACCAAAAACTAATTGGTAGAAAGTTCTGAAATCATGTTTGAAAAAAAAAAAAATTCTTTTACTTCTCTGATAATCTATAACTTACATATATATTTTTCAAAAAGGACTTAGACTAGACATACTTGTACTTTTTTTTTCATCCTAAAAATATCACAAGCAGAAAAAAAGATTAATTTCAAAAGTTCCATGACTTTTCCATGACTTTCAATGAAAGTTTAGGAAGGTCATGACTTTTTCCATGAATAAATAAAATTCCATTACATTTTTATGGTATCCATGATTTCCATGACTGGTGGCCACCCTGTCATTTCACAAAAGATATTGATAAAAAAAACACAATAGTTTAAAACTAACATTTACTAACATAAGAAACAGTTTTAATAGCAACTTTTTACCTGTTGAAAGTGGATATTTGAGTGCTGATAGGACTTTTTGATTTTTAACTTTAATGATAGAATCTTCGCAAAAATAATTCCAACTTAAATCAGCAATAATTGAAACGTTGCTTTTTTTATAAGGCACACTTTCATCATAATTAAAAATAACTGAAAAAACTGCATACAATTTTCGAGTAAGCTTTCCCACCTAAAGATATATTATATACAGTATTATGAGGGGCAGAGGAAACATTTATTTATTTTTAATGTAGCTAAATCCCAGACATGGAGCCTTATCCAAATATTTGTATATTTACACTTATTATTTAGTGTAGCTAAATATTAGTCATTTTAAATCTTGCCCCAAATACCAGAGTAACACGTTCATAAAATATTTTTTTACTATTTTAACTAAATTTATAGGAATCAATTAATTTTGAGTTTTATACAATAACCTCTTAGCGCTTAAAAATTATAAGAAATGAAGTTTAAAACCCCTTCAATTAGAGGGTTTTACAACATTTATAGGGATTATAATTTTCAAACGCTAAAAGATTGTTTTTATATGAAACTTAATGTTTATGGATATATATAAATTTAGTTGAGAATAATTGAAAAATTATTTAATCAACTTGTTGCTCTCGCATTAGGGGTATATGTAGCTAAATTTTAGGTCTTTTTTGCTCCCAGACTCCAATCATCGTAAATCTTTGCAAAGCATCCTGACTTGATATAAGTATAAACACATAAATAATAGGAGTTTGCTCCATGTCTGAACGTTAGTCATTTCAAACATAAAAAAAATGTTGCATCAGACCTTTGATTAAATATAAAATTTAACACTTTTTTTGTACTTTTTTGCAATATGTTTTTGCACAGGTGTCAAAATAACCTTTACTTATTGTATGTTTAAATACATAATAAAATGTAGTTTTAAAAATAAAAATTTTTATATACCATGTATTAGTGTCATATTTTATAAAGTGTAAAAACCACACAGATTTCTATTTCTTTAACTAATACTTAGTAATAAATAATAGAAATAAATAAATTAAATATCTTACATTAACAATAAAAGATTTGCCATTCCTTTGAACATTTGAATCATTCAGGCTTGAATTATTCCAAACAAATGTTTTTAAAGTCAATAGCAATTCAGGTTGCAGATAAACTTTCACATTTTGGAGATAGCTGTAACACTCTTGATTTGCTGTTATATTTACAAGCAAATATATTTCTCCACTATTAACCAAAACAAGAAAAAATTATAACATTAACAAACAGTTAAATTTCTAACATGATTTAAATAATTACAGAGTTTTTTTTATAGAAACACAGATTTTTTTAATTTATTATAATAGTTATAAAGATTATTATTAAGTTGTTTGTAATATTTGGCTATAATAATTGGCTATAACTTTGACACCACTGTTTTTTTTTTTAAATTACTTTAATTACTTGATTTTTCGGTGGATTTTTGCTAATTGATTACCTGCTTCAGTTTATACCAATAATACAGAATAATGAGATAGGCTTTCAGCTATATTTGGTATAATTATTAGGTATTTTAGAACTGATTTTTTTAAATTGATTAAATACTACAATGCACAGTGGTGGACAAGGTGGACAAAATGGGGAAAAATTTCGTTGTCTAATCTTGAAAACTTATTTAATTTTAGTATCTACATATATTAGGAGAAATTTATTGATAATTCATTTATATTAAATCCCTTAGTTACCAGGATCCTAAGCATTTGAGTATTAAAATTTAAAAAATAATAATAATAAATTTAAATAAGTAAATTACTGTAAAAAGTACATTGGAGTATGTATTAAAAACACAATATTGGGAGTATGTATTAAAATGAGATTCACAATTGTTATGAGTTTAATTTGGTTACTATGCTACCTTACTTTGCATAGCATATAAACAACATATTTTCGGTAGTTGTCAGTAATTTAAATTCTAACACTAACAGTAATTCAATTACTCATAATTTTGATTACTAACACTTGTAGTAACTTAATTACTAACAAAAATTAGTAGTCCATGCGGCATATATTTTATAACATTAAATTTTTAAATACAAAATATTTATTATAAGAACTATTTAGATTTATTTTTTTAACTATTTAGGTTTTATTAAACTTAGACATTCATAATTTTCTCCAAAAAAATAGTCTTAGTATTTCAAAACAAAATATAACTGAAGATATATTGAAATTTTTTCAACCAAAAATTGTTGAACTTAAAGAGGATGATTTTAGACATGCTGTTCAACGATTTGTTTACTTGTATATAAAAAAAATGGAAATCTGCAAACTATAGTGTTAAAATTTTTGAAAAGAAGTTTGTAAATTGGCTTAATGAATATTTAATTGTCTGAAAAAACAACAACAAACCAACTGCAAGTAGACGTGGTCAAAAACCAGTTGCATTTGATAATAGTTATAATCAAACTTAAAAACGGCGTCTATCTTGCTTAATTGAATCCTATTCACCTAGTGAATTATTTTTTGCTGCTAATAAAAAATTTAGAGATGAATCTATTGTTAGTGCTGCCAAGAACGTTTTAAATATTTCAAATACAGATAAAGCAACTAAATATTCATCAGACGAAGTGCTGGCTTTAATAATTGATGCCAGTCTGACAAAAGCTTCCTATCAATTGATTAGAAGCGGAGCCTTGGAGAAAGAGTATAACCTCTACCCCGCTTACAATTATGTCAGAGATGCAAAATTGAAATGATATCCTTCAAGTGTAAAAGTGGAGGACTATTAAGCTTCAGTTCCTTTAAAAGATTTAATGATTCATACTTTGCAAAGAATCTGTGCAGTTCATGATTATGTGCTGAGACACTTGATATTAAACGACAAAGCAATAAAAACAATGACACTCACGTGTAAGGCTGGTTTTGATGGTGCTACTAGCTAAAGCATCAACAAACAAGTTTTATTAGAACCTTACATGAACAGAGATTTAAAGTGTGAAAAATCAATATTAACAACTTGCTTAGCCCCATTGGATTTGACTGGATTTAACAACAGTAACAAAAAGGTGCCTATTTGGAGAAATCAAAAGTCGTCATCAAGAGCCTATTGTAGACTCATAAGATTTGCTTGCAAAACGGAATCCAAGGAATCTGTGATTGAAGAAAATCAGTACATTAAAAGTGAAATAGAAAACTTGGGTATGATTTTATTAGAGATTTTTTCGGTTCTTCTATTGAATTGAATTGTATTATTGAACTAACTATGATTGATGGGAAAGTTCAAACGATATTATCTGAAAAAACTAACTCATACCAACGCTGTTCAGTGTGTGGTGTCTCTCAAAAAAATATGATTAGTCTTAATATCCTTAATATAGATTATACTAACAGAGAGTTTAAATATGGTCTTTCAATTCTTCATGCATGGATTCAATTTTTTGAGATGGTTTTGCACATTGCATATAAAAAAGAAACAAGAAAGTGGCAAGCAAGATCTAAAGAACACAAAGAAAAAGCATCTTTAGCTAAACAAAAGATTCAGACTGATTTCATGAACAAAATGGTACTTGTTGTTGATTTCCCTAAAAGTGGTGGTTCTGGAACAAGTAATAATGGCAATACCTCAAGGCGTGCTTTTGCAGCATATGAACAAACAGCTGAAATTCTGGGTATTGATCAAAACCTTATATTCAGATTTTACATTATCTTGGTAACACTCTCTTTAGGATATGAAATAGACAGCTTAAAATTTTAGGATTATTGTTTTGACACTGTTAGACTATTTGTGTCCCATTGTCCATGGTAATACATAGCTCAATCAGTTCACAAAGTATTGATACATGGACATGACATAATTAAAAACCTTAAATTAGCCATCGGACTTATGTCAGAGAAAGCTCAAGAGGCTAGAAATAAAGACTTCAAATATTCAGCTGAAAAACATCCTGAAAAGCAACAAATACTGATCTTATCAATAGACTCCTAGTTTCCAGTGATCCTTTTATTTCATCACTGCGTAAATCAACATCACACTAAACGAATTATAAAGCATTTCTTTCAGAATTTTTAAGTATCCATAGCAACTAAATTAAAAAAGTTATTTTAACTTTTATAATAAGTATGATGTCAAATTAGTACTCATGCCAAATTTAGGGAATATAGCACTCATAAAATATCTTCAGATAACAAAAATAGGTTGTTGCTAAGCAAAATAAAAGTATCCATAGCAATGAAATAAAAAATATTACCTTCATAAAAAGCGCAGACATTATATTACTACTCATGCTAATTTTAGGGAATATAGCTCTAATGTTAAATTAGTTTTGAGTTTTGTCCAGTAAAAGTGAATTCTGGCACACTGTGCAATGTTATATATCAAAAGCCCTCAAATACAGTATTTAAAAGGTGAAAAAATTATCATAATTAGACAATTTTATAAAAATTTATGACGCTTTTAGTAGTAAATTTTCAATATATGGATTTCTTATTAAAACTGTGGTCAAAAAAAAAAATTTCACATAAGTTGTTATAACTTATGTGAAAATTAATAATTAAAATTAATAAAAGAAATTGCAAACTGTATCAAAATTTGATAAAAATGTAAACATTTTACATTAACCAAACAAACTTCTCATGTTCTAATTACAACAATATGACCAACAGTATCTCCAATGAATGGATTTGCTTGAAGAAGGCTATACATTTGTTCTTACTTCTAGTTTAAAAAGTGGTTTTAGTAAGTATAAATAAATGACCACTGGTAGACTTTTTGTGAGTCTTTTAGAAATATGCAATAGTGAAAAATTTTCTGGAAAGAAAAATTTATCAGACATTTGATAATCCTTAAAAAATATAATGCAAGGTCTTGCTTATTCAACCTGTTTGATTTTATTTGTCATTTTTTTTAGTATTTTATATGTTATTTCTCCTACTTTAATCAAACAAATACAAATTTGCAGAACAAGTTTTAAAGATTTGTTTTAGAAGTGTTGATTTTGCGAGTAAAAATTACTAAAAGTGGGGAATCAAATATAGATCTTGCATTGTTAATAGTATTTTTTATAATAATTTGCAAAAAGAAATTGCATATTCAGTTAAGAAAGATCAAGTGAATGAATTCAAAAAAATATAAAAACAAAATAAATATTCCTAGTAAAAAGGTTCTTCCTTCAATTTTAATTGAAATAATAAATACAAAATTACAAACCTTTGATTCTATTTTCAACGGAGAGTTTTAAGCAAACTAAGCAACATGTAAGTTTAATTTTATTAGCTAAGTTGTTGATATATAGCTATTTGAAAACCTATTTCAGTATTCTGTGTCATTGGAGTAAGCTGAAGCAGGCAATCGGTTAGCTAAAAATCTTGCACAAAATAATGTAAGTACTCGAAGAAAATCTAACTATTATTAAACCATTTTAATAAAATAAAAATAAAATTTTTATAGTGCAAACACAACTCTTAACCATAACAAGATCTCAAGGTTTTATAATAAAATTGTAAAAAAACTAGCCTCTTAATTTATACGGAAAATACAGAAAATAAGACCACGTAATTTAAGTAGGCCATGTTGGAACTTATTTGTTTTTGTAAAGCAGTCAATCTCATATTATTTGTAAAGCAGTTATTTTGTAAAGCAGTTATTTTGTAAAGCAGTCAATCTCATACTATTTGTAAAGCAGTCAATCTTATATCTCATATTATATATTCAAAAGAAAAAAGAAAAAAAGAAAAAAGCAGTAAATTATTTGATTAAAAAAAGAGAATTTCTAAACTTAATTGAAGATTAAGATATTTGATATTAAAGCCAATATAAATTTAAAAAAGTGATAAGAATTTGAGCGGCAAAATACCTACTATAAAGAAACAAAAAGTATAAAGAAATTCAAATTTTTAAGAAAGTCTGAAAGAAAAAGTTAAAGTTTGAAAGATAGAATTTTAAAGTTGGAAAGAAGTTTAAAAAGCATTATTTTTTTGCGCTAATATTTGAAATTGTATTGCATTTACTTCAACTTTTTTTCTTTTTTTTCTTTGCTAGCTTATTTGTTTCTTTTTTTTTTTTTTACTTATATATTTTTTACTTATACATATTATAAATTATTTTATTATTAGTTTTATTATCGTACTTTTTATTATTGAGCATTGATTATAATTACAGTATTCTTACTTTTATTTTTATTACATATTGCTACTGCTGCTATTGTATTACTGTTACTATTGTTGTTATTGTTGTTATTATTATTATTTTTGTATTCATTATTTTATTATTAGTATTTATTATTATTCGTATTGCCAATATTGTTATCTTAATTATCGTCATTTTTATATTTTAGTATATTCTCTACTGCTATTTTATTATTGTTTAAGTTACTAATAATCTTATTTATATCTATAGCTTACTTTATAAACTAATTTCTACTATAATGTCTCAACTTTGTAAAATTTGTAATAAACATATTCGTGCTAATCATCTTTCGTTTCAATGTAAACACTGTTTAAACTCATTCCATAATAAATGTTCTCTGGATAAAATTGATTTTAGATCATCAATAAACTCTTCCTTCAATTTTTGGCTTTGTATAACATGCCACATTAGTATCTTTCCTTTTTGTTCTATATCGGATAATGAGCTTCAATTTCTAAAGATATTTTCTCCGGTTTAGAATATCGGCAGTTTCTAATTTATCATCTTTTAAAAGCAAAAATATTATTTTCGTGAAAGCAATATTTTTCTTCGAAACTTCAAGAAACGTGATAGTAATCAATTCAAAAACAATTTCTTACAGATAAACTGGGATAAAGAAATTAATTTTTTTAATGGTAATACAAACAAATTATATGAAGGCTTTTTCCATAGCTTTAACTTTCTTTTAGACAAACACACACCACTAAAAAAACTAAGTAATCGTGGCTTGACTCGGAGCCTTAAACTATGAATTACTCCAATATAATAATATACAATATAGTAATATGATATTTTAAAAATTTCTCAAAACGACAAAGCTAATTATTAAACTAAATCTTAAAAAAACTTACAAACTCTATAGAAATTTACTTGTAACACTTATTTGACACAGCAAAAAAAAACATTTTTCCAATTATTTTTCTTCTAAGAGTAATAATTTGAGGGCTACGTGGAAGGGCATTAGAAAGTTTTTCCTCATATTGGAAAAATTCAACTCGTTCTTCATTTCAATACCTGACGAATTGCAAAAAAACATTCACTCATCTCATACTAACTTCTATAACTATTTAAAAACACCAAACATTGAATCTATATTCATTAAAGCTACTGATGAAAATGAAATTTTATCTATTATTCTTTCTCTAAATGATGGCAAGGCTTCTGGTCCATACAGCATTCCAACCTTTATTCTGAAACTTCTTGCTTGGGATATTTCTCCATTACTTTCTAAACTATTTAACCTCTCATTTGTTACAGGTATATTTCCTAACATTTTCAAAACAGCATCTGTTAAACCAATTCATAAAAAGGGCTCAAAACTTGGCTGTACTACAGACCAATATCATTATTATCTAATATTAGCAAAACTCTTAAAAAATTAATGTATTCTCATATCTACCACTTTCTTGATAATTCTAAGTGCTTATATGGCCGCCAGTTTGGTTTTGGGTTAAAACACTTTACTTCCCATGCTCTTATTAGCATTACTGAAATGATTCGTGGTGCAACCGATAGTTGTTCATTTGCTAGTGGCGTCTTTATTGATTTCCAAAAAGCGTTCGACACGGTCGACCGCAAGATTTTGATTAAAAAGTTATACTACTATGGCATACGGGGTATCGCTAATAATTGGTTTTCATCATATATTGAAAAACATAGCCAGTTTGTCTCCATTAATGGGTTTGAATCCTCAAAAAAATTTATTAAATAGGTGTCCCCCAAAGTTCTGTTTTTGGGCCTTTGCTGTTTTTAATATATATAAACGACTTGTCTCACTCTATAAGCAATTCCACACTTCACCATTTTGCTGATGATACCAATCTTCTATGCATATATAAATCAATTACTTAGCTTTGTAATAATGTCAATTCAGATCTCCATCATTTGTGTCTTTGGTTAAATAGTAATTGTATCTCTCTAAATATCAACAAAACTGAATTCATTAGTTTTCACCCTCCAAAAAAAATAATTAGTAATGATAATCTTAAAATTAAAATTAACGGTAAAAGAATCTTTCCTTCTGAATTTATAAAATATTTCTTGACAAAAACCTATCTTGGAATTATCAAATGATTCAATGAAATAAAAACTCTCTCGAGCCAATAGTATGTTATCTTTAATACGAAACTATGTTCCTAAACATACTCTAGTATCAATTTACTATTCCATGTTCTCATCCCACCTAAGTTATTGCTACGTTGTTTGGGGGCAGCAAGGAAGTTTTCTATTAAATCGTATAAACAGTTTGCAACGTGCTTCCATAAGAATTATGAAATTTTCTCCTATTCAATCTGATATCCAAAAAAGGTTTTCTAAATTAAAAATCTTACAAATTCAAGATCTTATAAAGCTTTACAACTGTTTTTTTGTGTTTCATTTCCTCCAAAATAATCTGCCGGGCTCGTTTAACTATTTTTTCGTTAAAGCAAGTGATACACATAAATACTATACTCGTATTACTATAATTGGTAATTTGCACCCTTCTTTTTTCAATACTGTCAAGTATGGCAAACTCTCCATAAAACATCAATGTATTTCTCACTGGAACCAATTAATACCTTTTTTATAAAATAAAAGATTTAAACTAAATACCCTTTTGTTACTAACTTTCTTCTTCTTAATAGAAACCTAATTAAGAAAATTTTATGTGAGCAAATATCTAAAGAATATTAAGGCTATCTTTTATTATTATTCCTTCAATATATTATTTAATTAATTACACTTATTTTTATTTTATTATTATTATTATTATTCTTTACATTGTTACTACTACTATTTTTATTATTGTTATTACTATTATTATTTATATATCTTTGTATTTGTTGCCTTAATATTATTACCTATAATGATAGTCAAAGTAGTTCATTAGTTGCAGTAGCTTTATCATTATTGTTATAACTATTCTTTAAATTGTTTATTTTATAATTATTAACTATACTATAATTATATTACTATTGCTTTATCATTTATAATTATTTTTACGTTGTTATATTGCAGTTATTACTTTTTATATCATTTTTATTCATATTATTGCTACTATTATCATTTTTATAAACATTATTGTTACGATTATTATTTTTATAAATATTATTACTTTTAACTTTCTTTTCCTCTTTTTTTTTTTTTTTTAAATCTTTATTGTTATTGTTGCTTATCTTTCTTTCTTTTTTTCTCTTTTCCTTTTTTTTAGGTGTCACTCCATTGACTAGTTTTCAACTATATCAACTATATTTATGTAAATTTATAATTTATCATTGTAAATTTTCATTAATATGGTTAAATAAATGGAGAAAAAATATATATATATTTTTAACACAACTTTTTCTAAACTTGCTTTTCAAGAAACAAAGATGAATTGGAGAATGAAAAAACATTTACAATAAAAAAGATATCCTTTTTTTTTTTTTTTTTTTTTTTGCCAACTTACTAGGTACACCTGCTGCTGAAACATTATGGCCCATTTAAGGGTTTTAAGTATGGCCCATTTAAGGGTTTAGTTGCCACTCAGCCGAAACTGAGCAGCGCCCACCTAAGGGTTTATCTCCATTTAACGACTACGCCAAGAACCTCTATCGACTGTCATGGTTTCGATCTTGTCCTGTTTCTGCTTTCTAACAACACCGTAACCAGTTGTGAGATGGTCCGGAGCCGAAATAAGAACAGATACTACACTTGATCTTAGCCATTAGGCCGAGAAGCGATCTGTCATTACGGTAAACAAAGAGTCTCGCTGGATTGAATTTTGGCTTATGAAACAAAAGATACTAGTTCGCTTAAGCAGTAACCATGGTATTACGTCGAGAACAGAGAAAGATATGAAATGTTACAAAAATGGAATAAAGCCTCAATCTTGGCAACATAAACATTTTCAACCACGGTTGTTCTAAAAGTTTGTAGGGCCATATGCAACTACAGCAACACTAAATAAAGCTTTAAAACTGTAGAGTAAATAAACTATCATTAATTAGACTTAAAACTTGAGTTATTAAATCTACTTACTCGTAACTATTGGTGGACAGCATTGTTGTTACATCGCAAACTAATAAAAAATAATTTTAAACAAATATAAAAATACATTTTATTTATTATTTATATTTTTTTATGTTAATATTTTTTTAATACAATTTAACAAATTTCGAATTCTAATGAAAAGAAATAAATTCACATGTTTATAATTAAATAGTTGTATATAATAGTTGTATATAATCGCTGAGGGGGTTGTACAGTAAATAAAATTGAAAAATCAATTTTCAAAAATTCATTTTTATATCAATAAGTTCATAGTATATTTCAAATTTTTTCTTGGATTGCAAAAAAAACTTTAGTATCTAAATCTAATTTTTGTTTAAAATGGTTCAGTATCATTTTTTATTCATAGCAACGCTTTGATTTTTCCGTTGCTACGCATTTTCGCAATAAAATTATACCCCTAAATGCAATAAAAACACCTTTATACTGACTGAATAAAACAAAGTATTGTTATTCACCTATTGCTTCTTGTTTATTGACTTGATTAAAGCGCGTTCAATGCGTACAAAACAGCTATTTTATGTTCTTGTCAAAGTTACTCGTGACTCTATACCTTAAATTTAAATTTAAAATTTGATTCTTCTTTTTTTAACTAAAAAAGTAAGCCTAGGTATTGGAATATAAATTTTTTGCAACGGTTTTTAATGAGAAACTTTTTATTTATTTATCTCCTACTATTGTTAAAAAGAACTCTAATGCATAACAAAATGATCTAGTTAAACGTGTGTTTGACCACTTGATATAAACCCTAATGTTGTAGCATTTTGTGAATTGGGTAAAAGATTACCATCATTTCTTCTGATAATTTTCCTGAAAAATGTTTACATGAAAAAAAAACAGAGTTCCAATGAATGCCTAAATCAAATTATACAAGATGTTTAAACTGTTAAACATGTTGAAAGAACTGCTCTAAGTATTGAAGTAGGATCAGCTGTTTTTAATTCTATAATGGACAACAATTTTGAATAGTTTTTTAATGAATTTTGAATGACATTTAGTAATAATGGGCAGAATTGTAGTTTATGTAAGTACACCAAACAAGTCTCGAAAGCAGAAAAGCAATTTAACCATAAAACAAAATCGAGAAAAAAAATGTTTTTAGAAATACAAAATAGTTTTTGCGATCAAAATAAAACATTAGTTGGTTTATTGTAAAAAAAGTGAAGATTTTTGAGCATTGTTTGTTTCCTTTTTTTTTTTTACTTGCATTTTTCTCAAAATCATGTTTTTTGGGCTGGCGACGGAGATATTTTCAAAACTAATTATCAATTTGATATTTGAATTTTGTGACCCCATTTTTGCCCAAATTTACAAAATTGCTAATATTTTATCGAGTTTTAGGTTTATAACAGCTATACTATCTTTAAACGTAGCAATTTTTAGATTGCTATTAAGAATAAAAAAAAAAGAAGAATATCGTCAGAAACTTTTTATTTATTCAACTACCTTAAATATGAATTTTATTTGTTTTTTATTCGCAAATTCCGCAATTATTATCTTATATTATCACAATTTTTATCTTTTATTATAATGTTTTAAAATTCCACAATTTTTTAGACACTTCTGAGACAAATTAATTCTTAAATATGTTTTGATTAAATTTAATTAGCTGAAAGATTTTTCTGCTACAGCGATTTTACAGGTGTTGTTATGAATACCAATATTCCAAAAAACTGGAGTCCGTAAAACTGTATTTGATGAGCTGTATGTCGGCTAAATCTTTTATTGTTGTTGTTTCTGTAATATCATTTTAAATAAGAATGATTGAATTAATTATTTCGGGTTGAAAATTTTTTTGAAAAACTTTCTGAGTAATTCTGTTGTAATAATTAAGCTAATTTTATTAAATCATCTTGCTAGAACTTTATTAAGATTTAAGGTTGTATAAAATTTAAAAAAAAATTTTCCATTCCAGTAAATCTATTACTTATTTGCACATTGACGATATCTATGGTTTTATAAAATACTTTAATTTGAAATCTTTTTTTCAACGCTTTTTATATTAATAAATTCCAATTATCCAATGATAATATGGAATTTATTAATATGAACACGCTAAAAGTCTTTTATATTTGGATTGCCTTTTTTACATAAAAGTTGGTTTTATTTGCCACTGACTGCAAATAGAAATGCGATTTAATTAAACTAGCCACTAGTTTAAATAAATCATATTTTGATTTAAAATCTTTTAACATGAGTTTCAGATTATCTATTCACGTGACCGCTTTGTTTAGATGTAAGGACTATTTTTTTGATGCAGAGACTTCCAGAATGGCGGGCGCTTTTTTTATAAATAAAATAAAAAAAAAAAAAGATAGGTAAAGAATAAAATAAGAAAAAAAAAAAATTAAACAAGAAAAATAAATTAATTAAAAATAAAGAGAACGAAGAAAAGAAAGCAAAAAAAAGAAAAGAAAAAACTGAAAAAAAAAAAAAAAATTAAAAAACAAATCAAACAAAATTAACAATAGAAAAAAGAAACGAGAAAAGAAAAAAGAAAGACAAAAAACCAAAGTTAATAGAAAAAAAAAAACATTCGAAAGTGGAAAGGAATTAAAAAGGAATTAAAATAAAATATAAAAATTACTCTGCTTTGAAGAAAGGAAAAAGAATATTTTTTAAATTTTATTATTTTTGAGTGACGATATGTGTTTGCTTTTGATTTACTTTTTTATTTTAATATTGTCATTTATTATGAAAACTCTATACTTTTTGTAACTAAATGTTTGTGAGTGTGACACGTTTTCATTTGTGAGTATTATTGAATAATTTTTGTTTTGTTTATTTATTGTTACTTTTTAATGAAGTATTTATTTTACTTTTATTGTTTTTATTATGATTATTGATATTAAGATTATTATATTTATTAAATCATTGTTACTTTTTTTTGCAGTAATTGTTTTGGTTACATGGTAGGTTGTTACGTTTTGTCAGTACATAACTGTTTGTAACTTTCCTGTCGGTGCATTACATTCAATTGTTGTTTTAAAATAAATATTGGTTTATAATCATATAATTTTCTTATTATTCTTATAACTTTTAACTTATCATCATTATTATTATCATTATTATTTGTATTATCAATCCTATTTCATGGTTTCTTAAGTAAATCCTATTTACTTAAGATTAGTTTTTAACTATTTGTAAATGACCTTGATTGTAAGATCTTTTATCGAAAAAAAAAAAAAACTCAGCACGATCAAAAGATGGAATTATTTTACAAACCTTCATTGGCAGCAGGATCAAAAGAGAGATTTGATCACAAATCCCATCTTTTGATCCTGCTGCCAATAAAGGAATAAATTTCTAGTAAAGTTATTAAAAACTTGTGCAGAAAATTTTTTTTTTTCTGAATTCCGTTATAAATACCATTTATCACATAAATTCCGTCATATCTTTCATATCAACACATAGATTACGGAACTTAATTGAACCTATTACTTTGTTTTTAAGTAATAATAATTGATTGGTTAAACCTACTGCTGGTTGATCCTTTATTTCATAAAAACCCAAAAATGTTTCTTTAATTTCTATTTGACAAGGTTGAGTGCCATGTTTACGAATTATTTGAACGTTTCGAAGAATTAAACTTAATTGGTCTTTTTTAGATTTTGAGTTGCTTTAACTCTTTTTTCATAAGAAAAAAAAGAGATTTGTTTTCAATATAATGTGTTTTTTAAATATTCGCTTAAACATTGATCAATTCGTTTCGGATAGTTAGGCTGAGACATTTTATTTAAGCACTTTGTCTTCTTTCATTATATCGTCGTAATTTGTCAGCAAATAAAACTGTGACAAAAAATTGTCATTGTAAACTTCATCTCAAACACTACACTATGATCTCTAAATGCAAGTGAATTTTTTGTTACCATTACTCTACCGGCACATCTAGTTTCTTTTTCGGAATTAAAACCTGTATAGACACGTGTTTGTCACGATCCAGGCGTAAACCAAAAATGTGTATATTACGGGCAGTTTTGCTCGAGTTTAACACGTGTTTTTTGAGGTTTTAGAGTCAAATTTGAATGTCGCATACTTTTATCAGTGGTTTCACATTCCTTACGGAAAGTTATTATAATATAATACTGCGTTTCCATAACGGTGAAACCATTAACATTTTAACTGGTATTTATGGTAAATAGTAATGGTTAATTTTACGGAATAAAAGCCATTTTTGACACGTGTTATTCTTTTTGTTTTAGAAGGTTTTAAAAAAGCATCAGAAACCAAGCGTAACTATTTTCTGAGTTGTGCCAGCTGGGTAAAGTGATTTTAAATAACGATTGTTATGCTATCTTTCGAAATGAAGATTTATGACAAACTAATTTTTTTGTATCCTCATAAAGTGTCTTGTTTTATTTCCAATAACTGTTGACTTAACATGCTTCAATATATTTCAGAATATTACCATGACTTTTTTTTTTTTTACTCAGCCATTTCTAGTCTCGAACTTCCGAACGCCATTGGTTACTTTTGTCATTTAAAAATAACCAACATGATTCAAAATATGCTGCATTCAGAATGTCAGAATAACAGAGCCTAAATGGCTGTGAACAACCAAATTCATTTGCAAAATAATAATAATTTGTGGGATAATGGTTATAATTTTTTAAAGGATTTTTTAAAAATGTTTTCTGTGGTTTACATCAGAGCAAAAGAAAATAATAAACCTTTTTGTACTATTATCAAGAAATTTCTCTTTAAAGAACCCCAAATCTGTTAAAATCTGCTTTTGTTTCTTCAATTCGCATTAAAATGATAAAATCATTAGAATTTTCGAAAATATTTGTACTTTTTTTAAAATGCGATTCATCTTGGTCTCTTATAATCTCATTGTGTTCTAAGTTAGTTAAAAAAAATAACACCTTTTTTTGTTGGGTTGCTTGAGAAAAGTATTGTCAAAAAAATAAAAACATCTTTTTATTCATTTTTTGTAATCTATCATCAGCCTCTTTTTTTAATTTTTTTATCTTGGCTCCATTCATATAAGTCCTTTTTGCGTCTAATCTGACGAATAGGCACTATTAATATATTGTAAATTTATTGACTTTCCATTTACAGCTACCTCCGCTAATAGTCTACATAGTAACCGATAACTAAAACTACAGTCGACAGCTCAAAATGCTATTGTAAATGTTCTTTGAAAATCTGCTATAAAATATTTGCTTGGTAGCCACTAATAACATATCGAAAATTTATCGGCTGACCATTTATAGCGGCTGCCACTAATGGTCCACCAAGTAACCAAAGAGCAAAACTCCAACAAACCGCTCAAAAAAACATAAATAGGTCCACTGCTTGTCCACATAAAACAATTTTTGCTGTATGTGTATGTGAAACATGTGTATATGAAACAAGAGCCTTTTATTTACTCAAAAGGATTAACGTATTCCCCGACGTCTCTTGCAATCAAGTTTTTCATCCGTATAACAAAAACTTTAACATATCTTTTTTATAAAAGCGGTATTATTCAACATTAATAATTCGTGTTCCTCAATAATTCAATAATCTCTTTTGTCCCGAGCAAGTACAAATTAATAAGCTTAATAAATATATTATATATAATATAACTATAGTTAGTTGATCACTTGTTATCTAAAAATTTTCATAATCAATTTTTATGTATAGAACAAAATACTTTTAAAGTTTTATAGAGATTATATACAATTATATCTAACGATATTATACACTTTAACAAACGAAAAGATTTTAAAAAAACTAAAATTTCTAAAATCATCAAAACACCGGGAGAAAAAATTAGTTGCATTTGTGTCATGATTGAGGTATTATTAATATGCTCAGGTAAATAGTCCTAATAAGCTACGGATGGTCTGACAAAAAAAATGTCTGAAATTTATTAAAGAAAATACTTAATAAGACAGACCTGCTATTCCAGAAGATGCTGCTGTGATGAAAAAAAAAGCCTGTAGCTAGAAAAAACTTTCTTTTGACAATTAAAAGTTTTTTTTACTACATTTACTCTTTTACTATAAATATATTTATTTATTTATTCTTTTCAACGCCCAAATTGCAGTTAAAAAATACAAAGGTCATAAAACTTATAGTTTATAGTTATTATTATAAACTTATAGTTTCTATGTTGCAACTCTGATTAAGATTCTTCTTGCTTTCTTTCATCGAATTTTTGAATTTTTCTCTGTTCTCTGATGTTCCTGGTTTAAAATTTCAACAATATTATCTTCTACGTCATCTTTGTATTATGTTTTTTGTAACTAAACTTTTACCGTAGATAATGAACTCGGTTTTTCTGTGTTTTATTTGATATAAAGGTTTTGACATTGCGTTTGAACTTTATTAATCAATTCTTGTAACCCAGAAAGATTAGGACTTTGCACGATTATATCATCTGCATAAGCAATAATACCAGCGTATAAACCTATTACTGTTGTTCCAACTTTTCAATCGGAAACAATTTGACTTAATATACTTTCAGCGTAGATGTTGTATAAATTTATAAACATAAACAGTATGTAAAGTATTAGAAGTAAACATATTCCAATTGATGATCGAATGTAACAAAATTAAATTTACATTCCTTAAAGTAAGTATTGGAAGCCATTTTTCATATTGCGGTAGCTTTATAACATTCATTCCAACTATGGAGTTTAAAGATACAACTAATGAGATTGTAATATTTAATGAAGGATAACATTATAAAAATTATGCTTAAACCTACTTTGCAGTATTATAAAATTTTTATCTAAATTTTATGAAAATATAAAGTGCTTAAAATTAAATTTTTTAATGGTTTATTGTTTTTTGTATTACATCGGAGATGATTTTCCATAATCTTGAAACTATTATGATCATAAAAAGTTTTCTTTGTTTATACTTACATATATATATATATATATATATATATATATATATATATATATATATATATATATATATATATATATATATATATATATATATATATATATATATATATATATATATATATATATATATATATATTTAAAGTGAGGCATCTTGCCTCACTTTAAATATGTATATAAATATTTTTTTTAGTCGGCAAAATCCTTAGGTGGAATCTCCCAACTCCCCACTTTTAAAAATAAAACAATAAAAAGTTAATACCATAATTAGTTTAAAGTTGCCTAACTTATTATGCATACAAAGATTATATATGAAGATTAACTACAAAAAATTAATATCCATTTGAATAATAAGTTTATTAAGATAGAAGTTATACCTTGTTTTTTAGTTTAACAGAAAAAAATAACTTACTCGGGCATGCATTTATTACAACTAAGTTTCTTAAAATTCCTGGTTGTGGATTGTTCATGGAAGCAAAAACATCAACATTTTGAAAAACCTTGGCATCAGTATTTTGAAGTGAATCAACAATAACGTCATTAATTTGAACAACACGATTGTAATTTCCATTCATGAAACTTTGTCTTACATAAAATTTAATCCATTCATTCAGATTATATACATCTATCTTTTTCATGTAAGAAGGAATACCATTGACTGATCCACAAGCATATACAAAAGATTCAAAAACACTTATCTGAAAAAATCGTTCACTCTCACCTTCTAAACGTAACACATCGGACCAAGTTTTTGTTAAATATGAAGTAAAATAGGCTTCAAATGTTATTTCATACTCTTTGGGTACTGTTTTTATTGTTGTTAAATAGTTGCCTTTATATAAAATTGTTTCACTGCTTACAGCAAAAAAAGACACTAAAAACAAAAAAATATAAAACAATTAAGTAGAGATATATATAGAAGTTAAAATATTAACATTTATATTTAAATTTAGCAATTAAAAACTGTCCTTTCTAACAGGGAACAGATCTCCTTTTTAAGACTTTGCACAGTGGGCCAAATATCCACTTTTACTAGACAGAATTCATAACAAATTTAATTATAGGGTTTAGTTTTATATCATTTAGTTACTATAGATATCTATTGCTGAGTAAATAAACCGAACAAGTCAATAAATATGGGTAAAAATAATTAATGGAGAGACACCACACACTGAACAACATTAGATAAGTTAGCCATTCTAAATAATATTGTTTAAACCATCAGTTATTAAAAGTTTAATAATACTATTTACTTTAATGGGAGATCTGATAATGCAATTAAAGTCATACCCAAGTTTTTTTTACTGATCTGAAATGTACTGATCTTCTTTAAGCACAAGTTCCTTAGACTTCTTTTTGTTAGTAATCAAATTACTAATAACTATCAAAAAAAATTTTATGATATGCAAAGTAATCTACATAACCAAATTAAAAAATTACCGTCATAAGCAGTGTGGTTCTCATTTTTATACACATTCCCAATATATTGTACGTAGCGCAAATTAAAAACTGTCAAAGTAACGTATTCGTAAAAATATGTTTTTAATATGCAAAAAAACAAAATTTAATTATATGCTATAAAGTTTAACTGAGAAAATATGCTATGAAAAGTTTATGTAGCAAAATACTTTTTCTCATTTCTAAATACTCTAAATCAACTTGTAGCAATTTGGTGTTTTGACAACACAGATCTAATTAAAATATCACAAAACGTTGATCTCACCAAAATTACTTATATATCATTATAATTTTTTTTGTATTAATACTTTTATTATTTTTTAGTTGACATTTTATTTGTATTCTTTATTATAAATTATTCTTTAAATAAAATAAAGTAAAATAAGTTTTAGAGATTGGAGAAATAAAATATTTATTTAAATATTTATTTTATTAAACTTTATATAAATTGTCCATCTACTAGCACACTTTGCTTTGTCCATGCTCAATAACGCCCTTTTATATGTTTTAATTTAATATATAACTAAAACTTACAAGACTAAAAAGTTATTGTTAAATTTGATAAATTTAAACTTTTCCGAAAATTTGTCCTTTTCTGTGTATTAAGCACCTAAAAATGTGCCTGCTTAATCAATTTTGATAAAAGATTGTATTCCACGAGTGAGTTTCAAGATTTTTTTCATAAAAAGGCTAAAGTTTATAGCTAATAGTAGAAAAAATCTGTGTTACCCTCTTCAAAGCGGTCAATCCGAACGTTACGATGGTCTTATTAACAAAACACTCAAGCTAGCTTGACTGTTTTTTCAATGATAACTAAACTTTTTCTTTTCGCCAACTTGCGTCAATAATCCAGAACTCTCCTACAGTTTTATTCAAAACATCAAATCGTAACATCAAAGCGCTGCTGCACACCATTTAAAAGAAAAAGAGGGCACTGTGTCATTGATTAAATTAAAGATACACCATCAAGTGGGTACCAACCAACCTCGTACTTAATAATGATATTTTATTTTAAAAATCAACTTGATAGCACTGCATACAGTGCTATCAAGATTACATGTAATCTAAATCTGTAATCTAAACATTTAGATTATATGTAATCTAAATCTGTTGGGCTTTTAATCAATGAACTACATGAAACCTTAAGATATTATGGCCAATCTTAAGATGTTAGGGTGATTGTAAAAGTATCAAGGATTTTTATTGCCGTTTTTGTATTAATATTTTACTTATTGTTTTTAATAATAAAAGTTAAAAAAAACTTTTAAGATAATTAAAATGTTACTGACTTATAGAGTAAAATTGGGTAGAATCAAATAGAGGAAAAAACGAAGTAGTTGTGACAATGTTTATTCCTTTGTTTCTACTTATTTATTGAATAAACATTTTGCAAATAATTTTTTATCGTGTAATGGAAAATCTTTCTCAAAATTGTATTCGCTATTTCTGGTAAAAAGTTACGAGTTAAAAACGGAAACAGTGAACTATTCGGCTAAATAAAATGCGCCAATTATTTGCTTGGTAAATATAATTTTTATTAATTCATTATGCCTAAACTGACCAGTGATTTATATAAATTATTTGTTCAACTTTTAAATCAATTATTACCTAATCAGTTCTGATATAAAACATTCTTCGAAAGTATTCGCAAAAATTAAAAATAGCAAGCTTTCATTCAACAAAGCTGCTCAATCATTCAGTATACCAGTAAAAACTCTTTATAGGCGTGTCAACGACATAGGTGAAACAATGATTCAGTGGTTCAAGTGGTTCAAGTACAAGATTGCCGCAATAGAATCTTCGAGTACTTCGAAGTCCAATAAAAAAAATTAACTTGACTATACAACTCATTTCTACATGGCAAAAGTCTTTATGTACTCTGCACCATTAAAGACTACGTGAAATGCTGACCTATGATAAAAGGGATTTCTTAAGTTATGCACTCATGTAAAAGACGAAATATAGTTTTTCTATATATATTGGTAATATTAGTTTATACTTTAATCTCATATTTAGAAATGTGATTTTTCTTTTTTTTTTTCTTGTTTTTTTCAGATCATAATCGGTAGTCTGTTTCTGTCATTTTTAAAAAAATTTAGAAACATTTTCCACATCTAATCTTATCTAAAATATATCTATGAATTATTCAAATAATACCATTTGAAAAATCTTCTTTTTATATTTAGGACCATTTTTATTATTGAATTTTTGAATTTTATATAATATAATAATAACTTAGCATACTGAACATTAAAAAGTATCATGTTCCATATATACACAGGCTTAGCATTAGGTAAACCTTGTCTGCGGTTTCAACTTTACTTTTATTAAAAAATCTTATTTAGTTATTATCCTATATAAAAGCATTAAAAAAAACAAATAAAATAAACTTTTATTTATGCTTAATTTAAAAAAGGCAATAAATGACTCTAAAGTAAAAAAATATATATATTAAATAGCGAAGATAAATAATTAAACTTTCATAAATAGTTTTTCAAACCCATAAATGTGTTGCATTAAGAAAAAACTTGTATTTTTTCTCTATGACTAGGTTTTCCATTTTTTGAGTATTTCTGAAAATAAAGTTTAATTGTAATAAAAATTTTGAAACTTTGTTATTTGCAAATAACAAAGTTTCAAAATTTTTATTACGATTAAACTTTATTTTCAGAAATACTCAAAAAATGGAAAAAAATGGAAAACTTGGAAACACCAAACAATAAGTTTTCATGAAAACTTATTGTTTGGTGTTTCAAAGTAAAAAAAGATTAAAACTCTTACTAGGAATTACATTTGTCACAACTATGTTTCTAATGTATCCTGGTTGTGCGGAATACCAGGGATTGCTTGTATATACTCTGACGTGTTCAAAAGGTTGCGGATTGGTATTTTGTAATGTAACAATAACTGCGCCATTCAATTTGATAACATAATTGTAGATCCCATTCAACAAAATTTGACTTATGAAAAATTTATTCCATTCCATCAAAGTGAATGGTGAAGGAAGCCATATGTAATAATTAGATATTCCATTGATTGATGAACTAATTAGGGCAAGATTGTTTGAAAAAAACAAACTAAAAGATCTATCACCGTATTTAATCGAATCACCATAAATTGTGAAATGAATTACGTTTGCCCATTGATTCAAAAAAGAAGTTAAATAAAGTTCAAAAGATATTTCATATTCATTAGGTACTGTGTCAAACACCGCTATAAGATTGCTTTGTTGGATATTCTGCACATCATTTGTCTCAAACATTTCTAAATGAAATTTAAAATTTTTGTATAATAATTTTATGATAATAAATTGTATAATGTATAATAAAAAAAAGATTGAAATTAAAATTTTTAAATCAAAATATGCCATAAAAGAATATATTAACGGGCGCGGATCTAAGGGGTGGCCATTGTGGCCATGGCCACATAGTTTAAAGTCAGATTGATTTGTTAAAAAATCTATTTAATTCTTATCAAAAAGCTTTTAGAACATTTTCAGAATTGATTGTTAAAATATTTTTAAATATATGTAATTGAAAACTAATTTAAGCAGTTTAGGACTTGCGTATCTATCAAAAATCTCTGCAAAAGAAAGTCTAAAATACTTATAAACTCTGCGTGATGTACTTTATAGATAACCCTTATCGACTTATGGCCATAGCGATAAAATTTAACGGCAGCCAACTTAGTTTTGGATTTTTTTGCTAGTGTAATATCCCTCAAAATTTCATTGCGTTTGCTGTAATATACGTAATTTGGCCATAGAGATTCCATTCCATGGCCACAACGGTTCCTATTATACGTTGCCGACCATTTATTCAATCAATAAATGCTCTCAAATAAATAATAAAATTTAGATCTTTCAACCGTGAAAATAAAATTTAGCCACACAATAGGTTTTAACGTGTCCGATTTAGAAAAATGTTCTCTGGTAAAGTAGCTAATGAATTTGGGGTTTTATCATTAATATCGTTTTCCACATTTCTTTAGAAACTAAGAACGTGACTTTAAAAACTTGATTTTTAAATGTTATATAATATATTTAACTGAGGAATTAGTTGCTTGTGCAATAGAAACAAAGTTTGGGCCTAATGTTTTAAATTATAAACCTAGACTCTATAAAGAGGTTTCGGAAATAAATTTAATGTTTCCAAAAATAGAGTAAAAGCGGGTCAAACCGATCTCCGAACAATAAAAATCAAGTCACCTTATGATTTTTTAAAATTTTTAAACTATGTTTTTTAAATAAGATAGAAAATACCAACGAGCACATTATTTAATAATTGTTTTTTTCAATTGTTTTTGAAAATATGAAAACTAGAAGAAAAAAAAAAGGTCGCTTTTGGCAAAAAGTCTGTTTAAACCGATCAATATAAAATACATTCAATAAATTTAACATTTTATATATGTAAATGTATATATTTTTTATATAGCATACAGAATTATGCTATATATTTTTTATATAGCATACAGAAATAATAAAAGATTTTATGTTTACATCTTTTACAACAAAAAAAATCTGAACCCAATACAAAATTTTTTGGCAAACATGTTTTGTTGCAGAGCCAAGTATTGTAATTTGGATTCTCGCATGACATCATCTCCGAATATAATTCTTTTTTACACTTTCTGCATTTAATAACTTTTTTTCTTTTGGCTGAAGGTGTTGTAATTGGTTCTATATTTTGAGTTACTTTTTTTTCTGCAGGGTTTGGCAATGGCATTATGAGTTTGCAGATGGTTTTACGCTTTTTAGCTTGTTTTTTAGCTAATTTGAGTTGCTTAACTTCTTCTGTAATACGTTCTGTAATACGTTGGCCAGCAATTTTTGGAATATTAGATTGCCTCGATTTTTTTACATGAGACTGATTTTTTTGTTAAAAAGGATCAGTCTCATGTCAAAAAATTGATGAAGATTTTCATTCTCTCGTGTAGTATTCTGTACTTTTCGAACCTTGAAGTTGCTGTTGCTGGTTCAGAAGATAATGCTAAAGATTTTATTTGTTTGCAATGGCGTTGAACACGTCGGTTGATTAAATGTTTCTGAGACTGCTAATGCATGCTGATTGATTTTGTTTTTGATAAGTGGAAATAACCCAGTATATTCAAAACCAGCAAATGTGTAAAACGCTTACCGCTCTCATACAACTGTTTGAGCAACGTAGGAAAATTTTCTTTATCTAAGTTTTTGCATTTTGTGTCTTTGTAATATTTGGTAAGAACTGCCTTCCACACTTGCTTAACATGGCAATAGACACCTCTGTCCAGTGGCTGAAGAATGTGAAATAAGTTGCTAGAAAATTATATTGTTTTCCCAACATAGCAATACAGTTGCTAAACTGACGTGAGACGTATGTCCATCAAGATGTAAAATATGAGTAGCAGTAATAGCTTGACATTCTGGTATATGCACTTCCTTTAACCATTTAATAAATGTGTCATGCTCCATCCAAACAGATTTAGAAATTGATTATTTGGTACCAGTTGGACCACCTAAAGCCCACTCAGCTCTAAAGTTTTGTTTTACTTTGAATATACCACGAATGGTGGTGTAAAGTATCAATCATCATTACATCAATTGTTCAGCGTATAATGGATTTTTTCATTGTTACCAGTGAGTTTCAAAACACGCTTTGCACCTTTTCGACATACTACAGTTGCTTTGCCTCGATCACCACAGAAACCCGTTTCATCGCAATTCCAAATGTGAGAACCAGAAGTTATCCCAGACAATTGATATTGTTTAGTGACAAATTCAAAATAATTATCAATTATTTCTTTCGTACAAAAAGCGGCTTTGGCAGATGCTTAGATGCTTTATGAAGTATTTTTTTCTTTTATATCGTTTAACGCAGCTTCTATACATCTTTATCCTTGTATGATTTTTTACTTGTTGTCATCTTAAAAGTGAATATTTAATAAATATCATTGAGTCGTTTTTGTAAAATAACTTTATATCGGAAGAACCCAAAACTAACACATGAGAATATTAAATAATTTAATTAATCTAGGTACCTAATTTAAAAATTCACATACTACTTAATAAAGGAATTTAAAGTAAATATGTGAATGATCGGTTTTACTAGAAAAATTTAATACTAATTTTTCTTACTTTTTTGTCTAATTTTTAACTATAAAACGAAGAAAAAATATGTAATCGGTATTATAATTTAATTTTCTACAAGATAGAGGTAAAATTATTCTTAAACTAGTTATAGTTACCGAATTATTACGATAGCAAATAAAAGAAAAGGCAAACTTTTACAACTCTTCCTTAAACTTTTATAAAACTAAAATGACTGAAAAATGACTTGGATTTTATTTTGACACATTTGAATAGAGGAGATGATTCTTTTTTCTGGTGTTTTTATTTTTTAAATATTTCTATCAGTTCCGGTTTTATTTAAATTTTTCGATCAGTGATCGAAAAAATAGTATGATCGGTTTGAACCGCTTTCACTCTACACGATTCTTACCAGTTTAATACAGATATGATGCAATTTGTAGTCTAAAGTAAAAAAAAATCTTGGTTATTCAGCGTTAAGGTATTTTTTGTTTGTTTTGAGCATTATGAAAGTTTTATTTAATTAAAATAATATCACAAATTGAATCTAAATGTAAGATCTATTTTAGATTTTAACTTTATTTATCGGTGTTTAACTAATTATTAACACAGATTTATATTCTTGATAATGTGCATGTAAATGAATTATTTATTAAACATACAAATAAACTATAAAAGTGATTTAGTGTTTTAATAAAAAATTATGCTATATACTAAAATGTAATATTGGTAAAAAAAAAAGTTATTAAAGTTAAACAATTTATTTTTTTGTTATTGATGTTACATTTTAGTATATTATAGTCATGATTACATTTTAATATATTTTACTATTTTTCTCAGGTCTACTGAAGATGGAAATTGTCTTTACAGCTCAGTATCTTTGATTTTAAATGACAGTAATCATAATTCAAAAATTCTAAAATTACTAATATCAATTGAGTTATTTGAAAACATAAATCAACATAGATCTTAATATTCTCAGCTTTCTAATTTGTTTTTTATTGCTGTTTCGTTTAAATGCTTTGACAGTTTTTCAACAATTAATGATAATATGATTTTTAAAAGAAACGTATTTAAATTGCTTTGATTAAACATTTTCATCTTTCATTTGTCTAATAACATTATCTAATGTTATAAAGCAACCTATTAAATCAATTTATCCTGAAATTAGTTTTAAAAAGTATGCTTAGTATTTAGTTTTTTTAATACTCTTATAAAGCCTCGCATCCAGAAATTAAATTGTCCAACAAATATTTTGTGGTGCAATTTAGATAAAACAAAAAACCAAAGTGTTTTATGTTTAGGCCAAATCATTTTGTGCCACTGATTAAAGATCTTCCTAAAAAGCGTCTAGCTGTTGTTATGAGTGATCCAGGTTTACTCAGTATCAAAAAAAAAAAGTTTCAAAGTCTAGTTTTCCACCTACAGATAACAAAATACAGAAACCAATTCAGTCTAAATTATTTTTTCTTACTGTTTAAAAAAGCACTTTAGTTATAGATAACTCTAGTATTTGTAATAAAACAGTTAAAACTGAAGTAGTTATCTTAAAAAACACCAACAAAAGGGATAAAAACACTCTTGAATCTAATATTCCACAAAGGGAAAGCAATGTTGTTGACATTAGTTTATTAAATACAAATCAGCTAGCATCTTATTCAAACTATGATGTTTCATCATACCATCTACAAGGTAAAAAATTAAAATCAGGAACAAATGATCATGAACTGTTATCTCTAATTAATAATGTCTTGGTTCCAGATAAATGCTTTTCTTGGCTTTGTTACTCTAATTGAAGATGGTGCATATTGTCTTCCATGTAAACTTTGTTTACATGGAAGAAATTGTTGACGGATTACACATCAAGTCCATGCATTGTTATTATATGCTTTTATCTAGAGTTAAAGTAACACTTTTCTTATTGAAGTTTCTCAAGATATTTCAAGGAAACAGTGTATAGAAGATAACAAAAAAAGCTTGATTCAGTTGTACTATAATATTTTACGTCAAAATGATATGCCTTTACGAGGTCATAGAGACAATAGAAAATATTAAGGAGAAATTGGAGAATCTTCAAAAATTTTAGGGCTGGTTAATTTGATTGAGCTTTTAAACTTTAGGGTTGATGCAGGTGATTTAATTCTAAAAGAGTATCTTCTTTCTGCCCCAAAAATTTCACATATATTTCAAAGACAATTCG